GCGCTATTGCAATTTTATAGAGCAATTTTTGCAATTATTTTAGGCAAACGTTGGCCTGTAATCGGTAAAAAAATTCACCCGGAATTCCCTTATATCGATGCGGAAGTTCGATATGGGGTTCGAGAGTATGCAATGACAGCGATCGATCTGATTGCTAGAAGGGTGAGACTGGCTTTTTTAAACGTACAAGCTGCCCAGGAAGCACTTCCGGAAGTAATCAAAATAATGAGCGAAGAACTCGGTTGGTCAGAGGGTAAACAACAATATTACAGGTACCGTTTAAATAATATTTATGACGACATGAACTTTGTTAACAGCGGAACAAAAGAAACAACTTAATGAAGCAACAGAATTCTTGAACAACGAAATGGGACAAATGGTTAACCGCGCAAGTAGAGACAAACTACCCATCAACCTTAGTAAAGAAGAAATCCAATTATACATTAAACGTTTCCAGATAATTGATAAGGACCGTAAGGGTTACGTGTCTATTAATGACATAAGAAGAAGTCTTAAGGTAAGAAAACTTTTTCAGTTGCTTTTACCCATTAAATGATCAAATCAAACATTTTTTGAAAAGTTTCTCTGAAATTCATAAGAAGACTTGACCATTGACCAATGATTAGTTCTTCTTCTGAAGATGGTCTTATAGCTTATCGAAACTTGTTAAGAATTTTAATCAATTAAGTGAAAATTTTCAAAAAGTATTTTTTCTACAAATGTCAGTATGGTTAACTTTTATATAGTAGAGGCTAACCTTATCAATTTATTCAAGAAATTGAAGGTTTCAAGTGTGACGCATCAGTATGGTAATCAATTTTTACCATTAGAATAAAATCTCAGACCTGAAAATTTAAACTAAACTTAATTAGATTCAAAGTATTTGGCACGACATTTTACGTTTGTTTTGTGAAAGTTATACTCCTTTGGCGGCATTGGGAGTGAAATTTTAGCATGCAACGGATGTTGCGCGCGCACAGCTAATGAAAATATACATATGTGTACACCGGCTAAATTAATAATTGGTAAATAGAATTATTACTTCAAACACGTGTATAAGTCTAAAAATACTCACAAGTATCATAGTAAATACTTCGGCCTACCTGCAAAGAAATGGAAAATTAAAGTCATATTTTCAAAAGTTATTAAAGTACTGCTGATTGTAAATTATTAAAAAATAATAATATATATATATATATATGTATATTAAGGTTAATATACTTCCTTGACTAGTGTGTAAACTAGCTGGATAATATACAAACTATCCAAATGTCTTGTTTGACTGATATGATAGAATCAATAATAATAATACATTACATTTCTTAAAAGGAAATACATAGTAACGATAAGCACTTCGTGGGTGCTGTCTTCTCCTACCACAGCGTATAATCCTATAAGCATATCCGTCAAACCAGACAGTTTTACTTTGTATATATAAGTACTATCTAATATCCGGATAGTTTACAAACTAGCCATGGAAGAAATTTGAATGGTCCTGGTAAAGCACTCAAAATGTGTTTTCCAAGGTAAATACATGACTAAACATTTTATTTGTTGATTAGAAAAAAATCTCTGTACCTAAGGGTAAAAACACCTGTCTACCTGATTGTCTACAATTAACAACTAATAATATGCATGTAAACAAGTTACATTAAATACCTTTAAATTCTTCTAATTTTCTAATGGATTTATGTATCTACCCCTTGGAATTAGTAGCACTTTTACAACACATTTAGAATAAGTATATACACAACACTCGCGTACTATTGGCATTAAATTTACTATATTTCACAATAGAATAATACCACACACATAAAGCAATGTTTTAACTAGACACGGAAAGGCACGAGACGCCGAATCTTGCTAACGATAATAAGTGAAAGGTTAAACTATGTTAATTTAACTCATTTTTTGTTTAGTCTTATCACTACTAAAGAAATAGTGCACATAGAAGCAAGCTAGTATCTCATCAGATAACACCAAGCCGTGCAAGATTTATATCGCTCAAATAATGAAGACTTTTATTGGCCATTTTGTAAATTCCGACTGAAACAATAAATGGCACAGCCAGCGCGATAAATAAAACAGTGACATTTTTGTTTTAAAACGTTTCACACCTCTGACACTTGTTATTTATTCACGGTATTCATACAAAAAGATAAATGTAATTATTTCATAAAGTTTAATTACGTGAATTAAATAGACAATATAAATTTTACAATATTAATAAATTGATAAATAAATGTAGACATCAATAATGGTCAAAAAGAGGAACAAAAAAGCTATTAAATAATTGATTAATTCATTCATATGTATATAGGGTGTACCAAGAAGGATTAGAAGTATAAAGGACCTCAAAGGTTTTTTTACAATAATAATCGTTTCGAATAAAATACTATTTCATGGGACATCTAATCTGGGATAAACTAATGCGTGGATTATAATTTTTTTTATTTAAGGATTTAAAAATAGCTAATCATCGAAATGTTCTATTTAGAAAATTAAATAGGTATATAACATCCATTTTTGACCCCTGACAAAATCAATACTTTTTTTGGTTTTTATTTAAATTTAAATTTTTATATGCAAATAATAAAGGATAAGCTTCTTAATATAGTACGTTAGAAATAAATAAATAAAATAATAAAATAGACCAGAAAATAGATCACATTTATTTTATTTAGACTGAAAGCAATTAACGTTTGCACCCGTTTTAACAACTAACCATTTAATTTTTTACCAAAACTAATTAACACATCCGACTAACATTCATGTGATACCTTAAGACGTCCTGTACACCTACTCATTATAGCCTCTTTATTGATCTACAATTTTTGTTAATTAGTCTCAAGGTATCGACTTGAGTGAAAGGGACATCCACAATTTATTAAATGATGTTGATGCCCAGTACAATGGTCGGATGGATTTACCAGATTTTTTGCAAGTAAGTAAACAATGAACCCTTTAACCGGTATCTTCTATTTATTATAGGAACAAGGGAAAGAGGTTTCCAAGGAGGAACTTCACGAAATCTTAAAGGAAATTGATACAAACATGAACGGACAAGTAGAAATTGACGAATATTTACAGGTTCGAAACGCGCGTTTTGTCACAGTAAAAACAAAGAATGCAGTATTTATTTGCTAATATCATTGTTGGCTTTTTCTTCGAAATATTTTTTTTTTTGTTTTATTTAATCATTTTTTGTTTGCTTTTCTTTTGATTTTTGCACTCCCCATGACTAAAGCAATTTTAATTTTCTGTTATGTTTCCCATTAGACATTTAAAGCACTTTAAGAACTATTTTACTACTACGTGCCTACTAGAACCATAAAACAAATGGCGTCCAACAGTCAATCTTCTTTCATTTATTCCTGTAATTTTCCCAATTAAGTTTCGAATAGAATACCTAACTTGTATCTGTTTGTACCGTTCTATTGAGACAAAACAATAACCGAATGAGATTACAATTAACCCTTGTTTTTCTTTTTTTTTGCATGATTGCTTTATGGCTTGTAAATATTCTTTGCATTTATTTTGCTATGTAAAAAAATTAAAAAAAAAGACGCAAAAGGGACTGTGAACCTTGTAGCAATCTTTTATCAACTATATTTTCGTTAGAATTAAGACAAAACAAAATTATTGTAGATGATGTCGGCCATTAAGTCTGGCCACGTGGCATATTCACGTTTCGCCAAAATGGCGGAGTTAGAAGAAGAGAAACACGAAAAAGAATTATTGAAGAAGAAAATCTCAGTTGAGCGTAGCGGAGGTGGTTTGTAAATGACGAATATAAAGAGAAACAAAAGCGATCTATTAAACAATCAAACGAATGTTTTATTTAAACATGTAGATATAGAAAAAACGGCAGATATTTATTATTTACCTTAGATAATTATTATCGTTAATATTATTTGTTATTGACATAAAAGTACTATTTATTTTTGTGACACTTACTACTATATTTATCCAATTCTTCCAAATATACACGCAACAAAATGGACTGTCAAATAATTATGTACATAAAATTGCATCAGCCCTTATTTATGTACTTATTTCAACAATAATATGAAGTACATGTGATATTATTATTATTACTCTTTACCATAATTGTTTTAAATAAACTTATCAGAATCTAAAGTTTTTTTAATTCACCTGTTGGTGATTTATTTCAATTCAAATATTATTTTAATTCTCTTGGAATTGTAATGTCTTTAATTTCATGCGACAGAGAAAAAGGAAAAAAGCAAACGTTCTATAAACTACAAAAAATCCGCTATTTCATTTAAAAACACTAAAATTGTTTGGGGTACCAAAAATGTCCCCTTCAAAGTTTTCAATTCCGTCTCATAGACAGAAAAGACTGTGATGGATTCATAGTTGGATACTATTCTTATAAACATTTCCTTATTCCTTTATAATGTACGGAACCATAAAATATTTTAATTACTTACTTGGAAGGAAGCATTTCGTTGCAAAAAAGGTACCTTTAAGAAATGTACATCAATAGAGACAAATTGTGTATTAACCACTCTAAAAATAACTAAGTAAGTAAAAAATATAAATAAATATGTAAATATAGATATAATTTAACTGTTAATATGTATAGGTATAACAAGATGGACTTATGAAAATATATCGTAACTACACTTTTCTTCTTGGCATTTATATATTTAATAAAGGAACAATTATTTACTAACTTTTTACTAAATAGTGAAATAAAGAAATTGAGCTAAACATTAATTTGAAAATTTCCTTTTTGAATTTTTCATTAATAGCTAAGTACGTATAATTCTTTTCCAAGGATGCTAATTATTAATAAGCAGTTACTTAAGGCATTTTTTAACAAAATAAGAAATGTACGCACATAGTTAAATTTCAAATTACAAATTCAACAGAGAATCATTTATCACCTACTAGAGTTTAACTTTTTTAAATCTAGTCAGTGATGGCACAAAGAAAAGTATAATTTGGTTTAATATGTTAGTAAATAATAATATGATAACAAACATTAAAATTGTACATATTTATATATAACAATTTAATTCAAGGAACCTTTTGAATTCAATCCAGTTTACACATTCTGCACAATCAACGCTAAAAATATTTCGATCGTCACGAAAATTTTTATAAAACTGCCAACTGTAGTTAAAAATATTTCTTTTTTTTTTTCTTGATTATGCTTACAAAAGAAGTATTGATCTGTTGACAATTCTTCTTTAAGCGTAAAAATTTGAACAAATGTGCAAACTGAATAAAAGGCGCTTGTGGTGATAGTAAATAATTAATATCTTACAAACTGAATTGATACACAAAAAAAATTGTTTATCAAATACAGAAAATTAGATTTGGTTTATATATCTTCTTATGCAATTATGTTATTGAAATTATGTTAATAATGTATATAAATAAGTTAAATCTAAACGAACGTCAAGAATTGTCATCTAACATACTATTAAAAACTACAAAAATAATTTGAAAATTACTAAAAAATTAATAAACAGACAAATGACAATTATGCAAATTATAACTCCACCTGCTCCATCAGTCCGAACAAATTTTTCGGGGTTTTCCAATTTTTCTACTTCCAATTTATGCTTCCAACCTAATAATAAATACATACATGTATGCAAAATAATAAATATTTCCCTAATTTAATTTTATCCCCAGCTAAAGATACAGACGAAGCAAATCTTAAGTAAAAAATTAGGAACAGAAAGCTAAAAATAATCATAATGGAAAATATATTCAATACGATGCACATTTGGTACCTACATACCATGATTTTAGTTATTTTTTTTTTCTAATTTCTTAGTTATACTGAAAAATCCAAATCGATGGACAACATGAAAAAAAATAGTTATTCGTAAATGGTTTTTATTTGTCATTATTATTGTCTTGTATATATTCAACCCCTCATAACATATTTTTGTTAAAAATAATTTATTTAGGTACATTATTTATGGCCAAATAAAACCAATTCATTTTTAGTTTAAAAAATCAAAGGAATATATGTTCTTGATTACAACTTAAATAAACTACAAAAAATTGCAGCGTGAGGTACTACATACGTTTTCATCGAAACTGTTTTTTTTCTCTTTTTTTTTCTATAATGTGTTTATTATAAAAATTATCTTTTATATTTGCAAACGAGTGCAGTTTTTGCTGTAATACCTAATTTTGAGTATAAATAAATTTCAGTGATATACATATGTTGCACAAAAGATGAGCTTTGGACTGCAGTCTGATTTTAGAATTTTAAACTTGATTTTCATTGTACGAATGAGCAAATATTTATTAAATATTTTACCGTTCATATGACTTTCTAATTGTTTTTGTCCATTAGCAGTGATATTACAGATGTTACAGACGAAGTCTTTTCCTTGTTTTTCGACTCGTGATTTATGCTTTTTACCTTCGAGATGTCTTTGATAAACTTTATTACTCGTAGCTTTTATATTGCATATTTCACACTAAAAGTATTAAAATCGACCAAGTATTTGAAATAAATTCATAAGTCTATAAACTCACCGTCCTTTCTACACTTGGAGTAAATTTTCGACCTATAGTATAGTTATTTAATGGTCTATCTATAAACGGGTAGTATTTATTACTTTTATTTAAGTTGTTGTTATTTATTTCTGCCGTCATATTTTTCTGATTTAATTTTATACATAAAATAATTTAAATAACATATACATATAAACCAGTACACAATNATTATCCTTGAAAAATTAAAAAGAAAAAACATTCAGCCTAAACCAAATATTTTAAATAGTAAAGATTTAACAAATTACTAAGCAATTCCAAATCGTCTTAATTACTTTTCTTTAATAAGCTAATCGATATAATTTTAGTACATGAAATTTCAATCTATTTAAAATAAATCAAATAAGAAAGCAAGTAAATTGCTATTTCCCCCAAGAAATCTACCGAATTGTAATTGAATGGTTTAATAATTTTAAAACAGTGTACTAATTTGTTTTCTTTATTGTCGTTTTGATATGTTTTAACAGTTTTAATTCAGAACTTTCCTGCCATAGGTTTTCAACGAGAACACGTTATTCGTAACTTTTGGTGATTAAAAGCTAACGTGACAAAATAACGGTCATAGTGATTGATCAGTGATAAGCGTAATAAAGGTTATGGTTGTATCTTAAATTCATTACAAACAGATGCTAATAAAATTAATCATAATTTATTTAGATTACATACGCATATTTTATAGAGATTAAAAACACCGTTTCCTTTTGAATAAAATGAAAGAAGACGAACCAGTGGAAAACAAAAATAATGTAATCAAGAGCCGGGAGATACTTTACAGGCTTATTATAAGGTGCAGTATTTGAAATATTTCAATAATTTATGAGTAATTAACGTTGATGGTTTTGTAGTCAATTATTGTACGATGGATATCAATCCATAGGATCCAGCTTAACAGCTGCTGTGCAGGCTGACCCTCCTTGCCCACCAAGTGATAGACTAATGCATATTGTTCAAGCAGGGTTGGATCATGAACCTGAACGAAAAGATAGGCCACACAATCATGGTATTGGAAACAATAACATTGGCCCAGGTTTAGGTAAACATAAATATACTTTATGCTACTTACAATAAAAAAAATGCATTTTCCTTGAAATAATGTCACATTGGTAATTTTTAGATTTGGAGTTTGAGACTGAAGCAAATTTGCCAGCTCCTGAGCCTGCATTGTATGAGACTGCTTATGTTACTTCACATAAGGGTAATTGCAGAGCAGGTTGTTTTTCTAGTGATGGACAGCTAATCGCAACTGGAAGTGTCGATGCCAGTATAAAGGTAAATACTTATTAGCTGATTATTACTAATTCATTATAATATATTAGTACTTATAACAGAACAATGCAAAAATATATGATATTCCCTTTACATCTATACAAGTACAAAATTTTCTGCAGTATTTTTAATCAAAAGGAAAAATCATTGTGTTTCCCTTTGAGCACATCTTATAGAAAAATATTAGATTTTAGATGTGGATCGTATGCTTGCTAAATCAGCTCCTGATGAAATGGATCCTTCCAGAGGAGAGCAGCAAGGTCACCCTGTCATACGAACTCTTTATGATCACATGGAAGAAGTTACATGCTTAGAGTTTCATCCCAAGGAACCGATATTAATATCAGGATCAAAGGATCTGTATATAAAGCTTTTTGACATTTCAAAAGCAAGTGTTAAAAAGGCCTTCAAAACAATAACAGTATGCACACAGTGCACTATTTTTATTCTGAATAAATAGCAACTATATTTTACAGGAAGCAGAACCAGTGAAATGTTTTTCAGTTCATCCGGGGGGCGACCACTTAATAGTTGGTACCCACCATCCAGTTATAAGACTGTATGATCTTAATACATCTCAATGTTTCGTATGTAGTGTCCCGTCTCATCAACATACTCAAATGGTCACCTGTATAAAGTGGTCATCGGATGCCAGAGTTTTCGCTACCAGCAGTAAAGATGGCAGCATAAAAATATGGGATGGAGTATCGAATAAATGCATTAACACGTTTCAAAAGGCACACGACGGACTTGAAGTATGTTCTGTGGCATTCTCTCGAAACGGAAAATATTTACTTACGTCTGGAAAAAATTCCATCTGTAAATTGTGGGAATTGACCACAAGTCGATGCCTCATAGCTTATACAGGAGCAGGAACAACAGGAAAACAGGAATACGAAGCTCAAGCAGTGTTCAACCATACAGAAGATTATGTCTTATTTCCTGATGAAGCGACCACCTCATTATGTGCATGGAATTCAAGAAACGCTTCCAGGAAACAGCTTTTATCTTTGGGCCATAACGGTGCGGTGCGACTAATTGCGCACTCGCCCACTCAAGCTGCATTTTTAACTTGTTCTGATGACTTTAGAGCAAGATTTTGGTACAGAAGAACACCAATTCTATAATTATTACTTTATTGAAAAATGCCTGTCACATGATGCTTGGTGTGCTTCTTATTATACCTAAGGATTTTAAATGGCGACGCGAGACCATCGCAGAGACACAGAAGTTAAATGTTATTTCTTATTATTGCACAGCTTAAGATTATTAAGTAAAAAAAGATTGTGCGTTTATGTAAAAGATATTCTGACTGTTTTTTAAAAAGTTTTGTATGAACAAATCTAATAAAATACTGATCAGTTAAATCTATTTTACTAGACAGTTTTC